TATGGAGGAGGGAGAGTTTTCTGAAGCCCGTGAAGACATGGCAGCCCTGGAGAAGGACTATGAAGAGGTCGGCACCGACAGCGTGGGGGACGAAGATGAAGAAGGAGAAGAATACTAACAAATAATTAAAGATCAACAATGGTAACATTGTAAACATTACGCATATATATAATTTTTGCTGTGTCTCTGCATTACAGGAGACAAATTTTTTTCGGTTCTCTGCATTTTAAATATAAATAGGCTTTAAACTTATTGCAGAGGTCTGTTCAACAGCAGATTGATGAAAAATGAAAAACCTTCTATACTCATTTATCAAGTTCTTTATATATATATATATATATATATATATATATATATACTGTATATATGGAATCATATACCTAATAAATAAACTATTCACATTTCACATCTGTTATTCCCTTAGTTTTGATTAATGGCTTATTATTTAGTGACTATTAATGGTTTTGCTTAAAAATTTACTCAAAAATATTTAAATTCAAATTGGTAAAGGTCTGTCTATAACAATAGTCAGAGAAACACGTCAGGGAAAATAAAGATTTAAACTCATATTTAGGCTTTATTAATTGCCATATTAACATTTGCTCACAAATCAAATAAACTACATGTAAATTATCCTGTTACTCATTTGTGGAAAGTAATGTCACACAACTGAATAATTAAAATATTTTTGTTTTTAAATAGAATAGAATAGAAGCTTTATTGTCATTGTATACCAAATTCAGAACGAAACTAGGAGTGCTGCCAGTTCCGCGCAGTAAAAGCAAAAGGAAATAAGAAAAATACAGAAAACAGTCATACAGTTATCAGTAGCATACCCGAAACACACACTTGAGATCCAAAATGGTTAAAACTTAAAAATATATGTTTTAATCTATTTATTTATTTATTTATATAAATATAGGCCTACCATTCAACAAGGAAAACCAATGTTAACTGGGAAGTTGCTTAATGTGTCACCACCGCATTCTTACAATATTTTTGCGCTGCTGCAAAACACCGCCGACAAAATGCATTTGGTGACACTGAGACCGTTTTCATTCAATAAAAAAGAAGGAATGATTGCGTCATCGAAAATGTATATTGCAGTCATATTAGGCCTACTTCTTGTAGTGTCGTTTTTAATCGTGGTCTTCCTAATAAAATCTTGTTTTATGTGATCCGACTTGCATTTTTCCTTTTTGTAAAAAAGAAATTAATAAAATATAGCATGAACACAATATTATATTAAATTGGGGGATATAGCCTACTGTAACTACAGTACCAAAGATATTACTTTACACAGTAAGCGTTCCTTACAGTTATGATACTCATAGACCTCACAGACGCTGCCTACTCACTCGAATACGGTATAATATCTGTACTGTATATCCGTAGCACGAATAGCGTAATGTCCGACAGCGTCTCTGTCCTTCATGTCACGAAAATGGACAAGCTGCCATCCGACTCCATTGAGCTGGATAAATAACACTGGAGCCCGTTTAGGTGGACATTCTAGATGTTCTATTTTTTTCTAGATGGTTAGGCTCAGCTGATCGTGACGTATTGCTCAAAGCGTATCCTAGGAAAGGGCATACAGTCCGCATGCGGAGGGGGGAGAGACTCCACCAAAATATAAACGTCGTTGAAGTTATGAATAGACAACGAAAAAACACGTACAATTAGCTACTAGCTGCGTGTGGCTGGCGGCAGTGCAGTCAGATATTTCAGACTTTAACGAATATCGATTTGCGGCCGGGGTTTAACGGCGATTCCACGCGCTTCTCCAAAGAGTGTTCCTATTTAAAGCACGCGTAAGTGTACACGCATTTGATAGCTAACTCTTCTTCTTAAAAGGTAAGATATACATTTGTGTAACGAAAATAGCGAATCTGTCGGTTGTCGCCTGAAACTAAATAAGTTGTCCAAACCGTGCATTCGTTGCCGTCGTGTTACGTAATACTTATTTTTGTTTTGGTTACTTGAATGTCTGTATCTATGATTTGGTGTTGTCTTTGCTGGAATCGTTTGTTGACTGTAACTGTAACCGAAATAACGTACATTTTCAATCGATATATCTGACTATTCAGTTACTTGGTTGCCTCGATGTTTTTCGTCTATTAGAACAAGACGGTTTGTTTACAAATTGTGGGTGCGATATGTTTATGAAGTTAAGACCTTCATGTGCGGCACTAATAAATATATTCAACAGAAATGTTTTTTTTTTGTTCCCTTCAAAATTTAATTACATTTTTTAGCTAAAATGTACAATTTCTGTGTCTGGTATTTTATATTAAATAAGCCTCATCTCAGTTCAATAGGAGGTAACACTTAAAAACATGCACCTGAATCACATTAAAGCAAAGTAACGCCTTGTAAAGCTACTACTCACCGAATTTTGTCAATGAGACAATGAGTAGCACAAGACAACTATGACCTGCGAAGGGTTCAAAAGTAGATATAAATTAATACTGAATTTGAGACTTCATTTTGAAATGCAGGGGAACTAAATATTTTTTTTTATCAACTTTACACCTAATCTTGAATAATTGGATCTGGAGTAAGAGTCAGACACTAATGACTATTTAACAAATGTATCCCACCATGGCCAAGAGACAGTGTGCGTGCTAATTTTGTTTTCATAATAAATTATCAATGATTTGCCAGTGGTTTATATGTAATTTTTTTTCTTCCTCATACATAAATTACTTAGACATACTATAAGACACGGATTTAAAGTGACGTCTTTTTTGTAAATATCACTCGTTGACATTGTCAACAGTTTACTATTTATGGAAATAAGGGTCAGGCGCTAGTATGGTGGCTAAGTGGGTATCGCTGCTGTTTCCCCTCCAAGGATGAGTGTTTGAATCCTACCTCTGTAGTGGTGGGTACAGTTAACATGTTCCTTTAGGTTTTGTGGGTTTCCTGTTGCAGGTTCATATCCCAAATTTTCCCCACCCAGCTGACTCTGTCCAGGATAAGTGTATGGAATTTGGATGATGATAAAGATTTTTCAGACAGTAGGGTCCCAGTACTGCATGTACTATTATAAAAACCTAGGCTATTAATGAATTGACTATTTTAAAACATATAAGATGTACACAGTTATTTCAGGAACTCAAACAGCAGTTCAGTGAAACTTCTAAGTTCTGTAAAAAATACATTTAACTAGTATCAAGAGCAACGGTGCACCATACACAGCATATAGGCACTTCACATTCACTGGAGTTTGTACTATAGAAAGAAATCTGTGCAGAATGCTGATCTGCATAACTCAATATTTAGATAGTTTCTCTATTTCCTTATTAAATGAGCATAAAATAATTAGTACACAATAATTTGTATGCATAATAAGGAACACATTCCCCCTCAGCGGAATCCTCGCTTTTCTCACCAAAAATGATAAACAGGCTGGATTTACCCCCTTGATGTACTTTACTTATGGTCTTATGTGATATAGAGGTATGAAGTAAACCTACAACTCACAGCGTAATCATCAACCAAGTGGGTCAGGGTTCCTTAGATACGAGTAGACATGGTCAGGCTTGCTGAGAAATACTAGAGACCATATACAGTTACCTAATCTAACTGGCCTGACTACTTGGCTGGCCCCGTTATCAGAGTGAGAAGCTTAGCATGTGAAACTAACGTTTACTTTTTGATAACCCATCCGTTACTAAGATGCTTAATATTCATTATTGACATTATTTTGCCCAAAAAATACAATTCGAAACCTTTTCAATTTGTTGAAAACCATATAGCCAGTCATTACTACATTATTACAGTCCGGAGGATACAGGCCACTGGTAGCCAGTGGTTTTAGCATGTTTCCTAGCATCTAACTGTACTGTAGATAGGAATAGGTTTGGAATTTATGTTAATGCCTTAAATTAAAAATATCTATATTATGGTTTATACAGGGCAGACAATAATGGAACCTCTTCTGAACTCTGTTAGTTGCCTCATGTTGCTTTGAAAACTATGAACATCACACCCTTTGATTTGATCTTTAATTGCCGTTACATGCCGCTGATTGGCATCCAACCTCACTTTTGTAGTTGTCTGTAATTACAATTCTCTCTTCAATGTTAGAAAAGAAACAATAATTTATTAGTGCTTTTATGAAAAATGTTCAATTCTTAAGCAAAAAAAGAAGATAAATAATGTCTCCATTATTTTGTCCACTCTGTGTATATCTCCCCTTATAAGCATGCTGTTATATTGCATTGTTGTTGTTTTTTTGAGGTAAAGTAGTCCTCAAAATTTTTTTGCCCCAAAAATTAATTCAGGATAAATTCTTAATTTGACTGAAATGATAGCATTGGTTGCAGTACCAATCAGAAACAATTTGAAGCCAGCAATGTGCAGGGTAAATTCTAATTGGGTGTCAGTAGACTGCTGTTTCCAATTGAGATCTGTGCTTCCTGCAGGCTCAGAAAGGTGAGGGAAGAAATGGTGGATTATTATGACATCTTGGGAGTATCACGAAATGCCTCTTCTGAGGACATCAAAAAGGCGTAAGTAGCCAAAAGCCTTTTTGGTAAATTGTATATCCGAGGGCAGAAAATCATAAGACAGGCCTCCTACCTCTGGTCCTAAAGGCTTGTCGGTTATCTAGCTAATGTTTTCCAAAAGTTACTTACATTGTATCTATTTTATGTCATCTTAGTAGACCAGTGAATAGGTTATCAGTTGATTTGTCACTTATTTATTGCGATGTAACATAACTTTATTATTCAACCTGAATGGAAATTCAGCACTTAAAAACCCAGGATTTTCAGTTGACTTGTGTTTGAATAGCATTACTACCTGAGACACTGCTTGCCAATCTGTGTAGTGTTTCTGCTCAGTTCCCTGGACTCATATCCTTGCTAATAGGCTTGTGATTCATAGAGCATAACATAAGTTCCTTGAGCAGTACTGTGATGTTGTTGATCAGAGCTATTATGACTGTGTTGTCAGTAAGGTCCACCAGGGTGCACTGTTGTTCTGGGGTTGTCGCAATAAGGACTGCTGATATTGTAATGTCACCTTAGCTAGATGGAACTACCCACGTTGGGATCATTCTCTGCCTAGTTTGTCTAGTTTGATAATGACCTGGCTTTGGGTCTGAATTGTGTCCTTCATCTCCAGTATTTCTGTGCACTCTTAAGTTACAGGAAGCAGGCCCTGCGGTGGCACCCAGACAAGAATCCAGACAACAAAGAGGAAGCAGAGAGGAAGTTCAAGGAAATAGCTGAGGCGTATGAAGTGCTCTCAGACAGTAAGTATCATTATATTGATTGTAGGGCCTCAGGAATCTTTTCAAACTTCCGAGATAATCTGATTGTTCACCCTCAACTTTGTAACTTTTGTTACTTAATGGGAACTGCATACTGTATGTATTTGTCTTTCTCCTCCAGGAAACAAACGAGAGACTTATGATCGGTATGGCAAAGAGGGCATTCACAATGCAGGTGAGGGTATGGCCAATGTAACCTCTCACAGTAGCTTTACAGGAGTCCTTCTGGTGTGACAGGGTGCTGCTTCTGATATGTGTCACTTTAATTGATTTGTTGTGTAGTTTTTGTGATCTAATTTTTTTTATCATTTAAATTAAAAAAATTTAAATTGCATAATTACTGTATTGTTCCTTATCAATATCCATTCCTCCTTTTTATTTATTTCTCAAAGGCTCTGCCGGCTCTTCCAGTCCGGATGATTTTCCAGGCTTCACATTCACATTCCGCAGCCCAGACGAAGTGTTTCAAGAATTCTTCGGGGGTGAGGATCCATTTGCTAGCTTCTTTGGTGAGTCTGTGAGGCCTCTCCACTAATTCAAGCTTTCAACCATGTAAACACAAATATACAGTAAGGCTTCTCATTTCTTCTTACATGTTAAGTTCCTGTGAAGCATATTTTATTCTGTTGCACAGAAATTTTTACTAAATTTTTACTGAATTGATTTTTACTAAACACCAATTGTGTATTATGAGTAATTTGTTGAAATTCAACCACCCAGAGTATCTGTTCTTTACCATCTGAGATATACTGTATGGACAAAAGTATTGGGACACCTGGCCATTACACCTGCAGAAACTTCTATGACACTGCAATCTAAATCTATAGGCATCAATATGGAGTTGAATGCCCCCCCCCTCGCCCCTTTGCAGCTATAACAGCTGCCACTCTTCTGGGAAGGCTTTCCACAAGATTTTGGAATATCTGTGGGAATTTTTACCCATTCATCCATAAGACCATTTGTGCGGGTCAGTCAAGTTCTTCCACATCAAAGTCATCCAACCATGTCTTTATGGACCTTACTTAGTGTACTCAGCTCCTAATCGTGTCCGCTTTACAGTAATACCACTTGCTGTTTACTATAGAATTTCATTAACTGACTTATTGGCTAGATGGTAAGTGAGTGGTGAGTGGCTCAGCGGGCTAAGCCAGTGATTGGAAGATTGCTGGTTCAAGCCCTGGCCTCGGCAGAACAGTCACATGTCTATGGGCCCTTAAGCAAGGTGTTTAACCCGCAGCTCTGTAGTTCAGGTCCTGAGCCTGGAAGGTCTTCGTAATCACAGGGCACTACAGGGGTGCTACATGTTGGCTAATCCTACACTGTGACCTCTAGGTCATGGAAAGAAGGATGGAGCAGGCGAACAGAAGAATTCCAATGCACCTGTGCTTGTATGCAAATAGAAAATAAAGGATAAAGGATCTTCAGAACAAACCATTGTTTCACACATGTTTGTAAACCTGACTGCATGGCTAGGTGCTTGATCTTATACACCTGTGGCAATGGGTCTGAATGGAACACTTGAATTAACGATTAAGAGATGATTAAGAGATGTGTCCCAAAACTGTTGTTCATATATTGCATATAGAAAGGATTGCAGAAGTGCCAAGTCTGTTAAAAAGCTGTTGCCCAAGGAAATTATGGCCCTAAGCTATGATGAAATACCCATTTTCCTCATTTATTCATTCATTCATTTGTTGAGTTCAGGGATCTTGGTTTCTGTTGAAGGCTATCTCAGGGCTGTCAAGTTTTGAAGAATGTCAAAGTGACATTCCACAGGATGCCTTTTCATTGGTTGTTGTGTTGTATTTTACCCAGATACAATAGTACTATTTTCTGATTGGCTATTGTGTAGGCCCTTTCTTTTTTTTTCATTGGCTGGTAAGTGACAGGCTCTTGGGGCAAATCTTGTCCGACTTCATAAAAGATGCGTGTTTCCGACGGGAAGTGACGTTTTTCTTGACGTTTCGTGACGTTTTCATCCGAGTTCTGACTTGGAGAGAAATAATCGAACGTACCATAATGTCACTCAACTCAGAATTTCCGAGTTCCGAGAGAAAAACGAACGCACCATTAGACTCCAGCGGAGACACGCTTGTTTTATAGTGAGGTGCTACTGTGCCGCGGTCTGGGGAAAAATTGGGCTCTGCGGCATATTAGCCTACAAATTATTTTTCCACGTGAGAAATACAATGTGTGGCGGGAGTGCGTGACAAAAGACTGAAAAGAGTGACTGTCACTCTCAATGCGTGACACTTGAGAGCCCTGCTATCTGCAACATTTGCTCTCTTTTTTTCTCCCTTGATCTACAGATGATTTCCCTTTTGGCGGCATGCAGGACAGGAGTCATGGACATTCAGGCCCATCACGGTTTGGGCCTAGTCGTTTCTTCTCCTTCCCGTCTGCCGGAGGTGAGGGCTTACTCCCTCATGCAGAGTCATGGCTGCTAATACTGCAGAATGGGGTAAAATCTTTGCCGTTAGCTATAAAATTCTAGTACAGCTCTATAGTTCAGGTCCTGAGCCTGGAAGGTCTTAGTAATCACAGGGCACTCTAAGCTTCTTTTAGCTTTACATAAAATGCCTGTGGCCCACAAGATCATGACGTTTTGTCTCCTCTTTCAGCAGGTTTCACCTCCTTTTCATCCTCCTTTAGTGGGATGGACAGCATGGGGGGCAGCTTCAAGTCAGTCTCTACCTCCACACGTGTTGTCAACGGGAAACGCACCACCACCCGAAAGTGAGGCTTTGTCATGGCTTTGCCAGCAGTAGCTAACACCAGTGCTGACAGCATTAGTAATGCAACCTTTGATGTTGTTTTTTGCTCCCTTGGCAGAATCAGAGAGAATGGCCAGGAGAGAACAGAAATTGAGGAGGATGGGGTCTTGAAAGCTGTTCTGATCAATGGTATGCACTCTCCTCCATCACTATGCTCATCTTTTCACCGTAACGCTTTTATACTGTCATTCTTTTTGTCTTCTCGACATCCCACATAGCCCTTATGCAGGGCTCCATATAGGTCACTTTTACATGCGACTGTCTGCTCTTTGTAGGTGTGGAGGATGAGATGGCCTTGGCCTTGGAGCTCAGCCTCAGAGACTCAGCCAGTCAGTCATCGCAGCACCAGCGGCCCCGTCTGCAGCAGCAGTCACACCAGGAGCAGCCCGGCTTCTACCCGCCGGCCCCACCTCAGCGGTCCTATAGCTCGGCCCCCTTCTTTAGATATCCCGAGGAAAGTGAGGAGGATGACGAAGATCTGCAGATGGCCCTGGCCTATAGTTTGTCGGAGATGGAAGCGCAGAGGAGGAATGCAGCTGCAGATATGATCTCAGGTGCTGGGGTCAAGACTAGGGAATGTGGAGGCGGGGTCAAAGATCAAGGGTTTGCAGACAAGAATAGACTGGGGCAGACAGTTAGCGACAAGCCAAGAGCAACTGAAAACAGAGCAGTAGCCAGTGAGTCTACTAATGGGGGGTTCTGGGATGGTTCTGACTTGCCAAGTCCCAACAGCCCAGTGGAGAAGGAGAGCAAGTGTCCGTCTATGGATACAATCCACAAGATGGCAAAGAAGGTCTCTAATTGTGTGGTGAGCTGATGTGTGAGTCAGACTCCACTCAGCCAACAAGGTGCCACATGTAACGTCTTTCCTTCATAATATCATTACTGTGCCCAAGTCTGTTCCTGCTGTTGATATATTGGCTCTGTGTTGAAACTAAGAGATTTTTATAAAGATGGAGGAGAGTCAGCAGCTCTAAGATGGACTTTTTTATATAATGTAGGCAAGACTACCTCACAGTCCTCCTACACTCTGAAAAGGATTATAGTTTCAGTAAAATATCTGTTTCTATGGTAGGTTTTAACACACCAGCCTCAGAAGATTAACAGTGGGGAAATAATGAATTTGGGTGTAATTTGTAGTTGTTCTTTTTTTAAAATTGTTTTAAAAAATATAAATATTTTAGAGATATATTAAGTAGACCAATGGGACTTTGAAATGTATATTTAGTGAAATTTTGAAATGTCTTCTTTAATGTAGTGCTTAGAGAATTCTATCTTTAACTTCCAGTTGTGTTAAACCTTTTTTTACCACTCGTTGTTGTTGTTGTGAAGTATTTTTGGTGGGAGATGAGCAGGTGGCAGAGTATCGCTGGGAATTTACTGTGGTGAAACTCTGTGATGGGATTGCTTCAGCTTCAGCTCGCACATTAAGTGTGGATATTGCCGTCTTCATCTTAGCTCTTGTGCTATAGTCTACCTAATAGGAAACTTACAACACTATATATATAAATGTTTTCTTTTATATTTCTCAGTGCATTTGTTCTAAAACAGCAGCGGATAGTTTATGTGCTCCTTTTCTGCACGGTCAGAATTCATGCTTCACTGCCTGAAAATTGAATTTAGACACTCAACAATGTGAAAGTGAGAAGAGCCAATATGGAAAATGTCTGTCACTGTCAAACATCATGTGCTTCATCTCAGAGTGAGGGAGTGGGTCTTGTGGCAGAGGGTCTTCCAGATTAATGTCTTAGGCACGTGTTGGTTCATATTCTAAGGGTTTAACAGCTGTTCATAAAGCACTTAAATTGTATCATAAATACCCAGTATTATAAATGTACCAGATTATAAGATACGTGATTTACTTTGGAAATAACACCTGATGACAAGCAGTAGACCAATAAATAATTAAGTAATATAGAAAGACTAACCCTCTCTTTGATTTAATCATGAGATAAATGGAAGGTGGTGTTAAGGTTGATGAGAAGTGGTGTGCAGTTTTGGGTCCTGGGTAATGACTGTGTGTGACACCCCACCCCCCAGTCATGCAATACTAACCAGAATTAGGTAAATGAGCAGTGCCATGTCCTTTTCTGGTTATTTGCTGATCTAATGTATTTGCTTGTCCCCTAATTCCCATAATAAACTATCAGGCTTTTTTCTTATGTTCTAATTTTGTTTTATGGGATTTCTTTTATTTTGTTGTTTCAGACTCCGACTTCCAGGCCTTCACTGGTTGACTGGCTACTGGCTACATGCCCCCTAGAGGTAAAACTCAGTATGACATAGGGAATTCCTTCCAAATGTCCCCTTCACTGCCCCTGAGCCCCCTGTCTCCTAACAGCAAGACAGTTAAAACCATAAGTCAAACTGTTAATAGTTTACAATGTACCTATGAAGAATCTGCAGTGATATTAGCATGATTAGCTGCATAAGGACTACATATAGACAAAGAACACAGTTAAAATATAGTAGCTCCATGCTTACAGACAGCCATCTTCATTTAAAGATGGTTTTTAAACCACACAGCAAATTTTATACAGATTTTTATTATGCCAATATTCAATATTATGGCAATATTATTATTTAACACAAATGGATGAGAAAGCACCTGATGCTATTTTTATACAATGGTCACATACCTACAATGTAGAGAAGAAAAACAACAGGCCATTGACAACTTTGGAAAACATGTTGGGGGCAGGTCAAAATAAGTCACTAGGAGGGGGACAAAGGACCTCTACTAATCCATATCTACTGTGGATCTGACATTCATGTCCATTTGCTCCCAACAGGCAGAACTCCTGGAGAGCTTGCCACCTGCCACTCAGATTGTTCTCCAGCTCATTTTTCAAAGTTTTATTTGGAAAACAATAAGGGGAATGTTGAAAATGTCATGTGCTTACTAAATGTGTTTTTCTTGTGTGTGTGTGTGTGTGTGTGTGTGCGCGCACATGGAGGCAGAAACTAGATCCTTAACCAAAACCTGCAACTTCATCTCATTTTAACTATTTAAGCTGTTGAGGCAGTACGGTACTATAGGAAGATACTTAATGATACAGAACGTTTGTTAATGGTCATGGGGAAATATTTCCCAGCAGGACTAAAGACTGTTGTTCTAACTTTGAATACAACTGAACGCTGTTAAAGTACCTGTATCTGCAAGTAAAGTATAACTTAAAAAAGCTAAAACAGGCACATCTGGGTTTTTTTTTTTTTTACTAAGGTTTCTTACTAGGCTTGCACAGGTAGGATGTGACCAGTGCAGCGTTACCCAGCGTTACCCTTATCAGCGGCAGGAGTCTGAGTCTTCACTGATCCACTCAGCCATACTGTGACCTTATGCCTGTTAATAATGAGTTGAATTAGTTCCTGAAGGCTGGCTCTGTAATAATGCCGGCAGGTTCAGAAAAAAAGTACACACTCAAACATGCTCTGCTGTTGCATCACTTCACAAACTATTTTATTCATCACATAAAATTACAAAAGAAATATTTTCACATCAATGTTTTTTTTGGTTTGTTTTTTTTCTTCTGGTTTGCTACAGATATACAGTGACACTGAATGGCTCTGAGTTAAACAGACAGAATTTCTGATGGGAGAGGCTGAATCTGAATGAGGCATCCATGTCGATGGACAGAAACAGGAGAGAAACATGTGACTTTTTACAGATATTGCAGTGTCTGCACTGCCGCAGTAGCTCCCGCTCCCAATGTTACTTCCTGTCTGCATTTATCATTTCCCACAGACCATCAGTGTTGCTTGAGGAGCCACCTAGACTAACACACTGCAGTCCTCACAATAACAGGTCTTCAAAGACAAATTTTATCAGTTATCTTTTTTGTTTAAACATTACACGGTGAAGCATTGCACTTATGAAAAATAGACTACGTAATATCGAAATATAATTATTCCAAAAATACTGAGGAGAGCTAACAGTAAAAGACAAGGGTTATAAATGAGCTCACTGGACATATCACAGGAAGAAGACACAAACAAATGCTGACTATCTGCTCTCAGACACTGCAGCAAGACTGTACGCCCGCTGTATTAATGCTGAACTACTTCTTCAATTAGGTAATTCCCCCAGCTGACCCATGAAAAATAAACATCTAGTTTTTATATATGCTTTTTACGTCAAGAGAAAACATACCAATCCCTGAAAGGTTTTTACAGTTTTAGAAAGTGCGGTACCTTTGCGGAAAAAGTAAGATAAGGCCAAAGATCCAAAGCAGGACACCAAAGCTGGGCTAGCGAGCAGCTTTCCCTGTGCAATCAAAGCAGGTCCGAGTCATGATGTTCAGAGAAGGCCATCAGAGTGGAGTATACGTTTAGAAGGTATAGCAAGAACAAACTCATTCACTGAAATTCTGTTAAATCAAAAGGGCTTCCAGAGAGACATCAGCTGTCTCTCATGATATAGCTAATGTCGAATATAGGTCTGGATCAGCAGAGTGGGAATGAGGACAGCAAGGTTCCTCATCATTTATGAACTGATGTGTACCAAGAAATGTGAATGATATTTCCTATATTAACAATTGTGTGGTGAGATAGAAGAATTTTTTGTAGAGCATGCTGCCCACAAAATTACACATTTAACAACAGAAATACTGCAAAGTGTTGGGATACTATTCAGCTCCAGGAAATTACACAGGATCCAGTGATAACTGTTATGTATACCACCTTCTCAGTATTATAAATGTCAGCACTCTGTGACTAATGGCTGCATGCTTTCAAAAGTTTTTATGACTGTCATATTTATATTAATAAAATACATATCCTGACTGCTATCTGTTTAGGAAAGGCAAAACTACAGATTTTAAAACCAAGTTAAATCAGTCTAATGAAGGCAATGCATTAAAATGTATATAATAGAGAATCCCAAGAGACCTCACAAACCTTGGTTATTGATCAATAGTCAGCTGACATGGTTAAAATCAGGGATGATATTATCAGGTTTGGTCTGGTTTGTTGCTCAAGGCAATGGGGCCTACAGGGATGGTTTACAGCATGAAGAGCCCTGAGGCATAATCATCACCAGCGGTACCTGGAGATACAGAGTGCTGTCCCAGTGAGGAGAAGGAAAACATGAATTCTTAATCTATCCTTTGATCTAAGGATGAAACAGAGATGTGTCCCTCCTGCTGAACTCAGATCCAACCTCTTGTGATCATGCATATATGGATGCAGAGGAAGAGGAGGAGGGTATGAGGAAGAGTGCAAAGTGGAGACAGTGAGGCATCAGCCATAGCTCACTGGGGGAGTGCTTTGAGGATGGCGTTGACCTCCTCAGCCACAGCAGTCAGGGCAAACTCAAACTGGTCCTGCGAGGAGAGACACAGAGAGGCTCAGTCAGGATGGACTTTTAAACTGGTAAGTAGGGGAATGTGGATCACAGCTGAGGCTCTGAGAGTGAGCATAAGCCAGTCAGTAAAGATAACAGGGAATTTGGATCATGTGTGTAATGGTGGCACTGGGTTACCAGTCACTGGTACAGTGAAGATGTCAAGGGCCAAACACTATACCTTGGTGCACACCATCCCTGGTCTCTGGTCACGGATGTGTTCCAGTGTGGCAGCAATGTCAATCTCCTTTACTCCTGATGACACGCAAAAACACAAACGTTCTTTAATAAACAATGACCATGTTTGGCAGTGTCTGTCAGCACAGTGCATCTCCTAAACCTTAATGAGGTTACTTTCACAAAGAGTCTGATCAGTTACCGTAGTTGGGACTTCACAGGACACACTCTATCTGTCTAATGACAGGTCACAGATGCCCACTTCTAAATGAATCCATCTCATTGTGTCCAGTGAATACATACCATTTCATAACTATCCTAATGGCCCATAAAACAATGCTGCATTGAAAAATACAGCCTCAAAACAGTGTTAGGCACAGATCTGAGCACTTTGGATGGAAATTTAACAATGCTGCTTTCACATCTGTAATGGTTTTTGAGTGCAGAATACCAATTTTACACCAAACAAGTCCACAATGAGGGTAAATGGTATAATATAGGTTGTGAGTGCTCACCTTTGGCCATGCGGTTAAGAACCATATCAATCAGGATGTAGGTGCCAGTTCTGCCTGTGCCATTGCTGAAGTAAACAGTGAATATTGCAGGTAAAAAACACCTGCTTCATAATCTCAAAGGTTATTAATAAAGGGGCATTTGAAATCTAGCTGCCACTCTAAGACAAAGACAAAGTATATCTACATGGGGATTCGTTTTGCTTTTATCACAAAAACAATGTGCCCCCCCCTCCCCCCCCTGTGGAGAGTCAGTTACCTGCAGTGCACAATGATTGGACAGGACCGGCCCCTGTAGCACTTATTGACCTTCCTGGACAGGGAGATAGAGAGGGCCAAAGGATGAAGGGAGGAAAGAGGGAAGAAGAGAGAGAAACATGAACAGAGGCATACTACCCAGCTGAGAAATCATTAATGGGGGTCACACAATGAAGTTCTCAGTCTATGCTCAACATTTAACTCGAACAAAGGTGGTCAGGGACATGGAGGTATGCGGCTGAGGTCTGGAGGGGTCAGAAAATATGGCTGATTACAGCTCTGATCCAATCTGCACAAAGGCAGGAGGGGTTTGAGAGCAGAAGAGTGACAGGGAAGGACAAAGAGGAGGAGGAGAGAGGAAGGGGAGGCGATGGATGGTGTAGCCAGCGTCACGCCTGCTGCAGTCACACCTGCCAATGATCATTTTTGTGACTATGCAACTGGACCCAGACTACTAGCTGCAAATCACAAAAATGACACTGACAGATGTGGAAACTTACGGACCTCGCTGGCCTCCATCGCAGAGGGACAAGGGGCTGAGAGGGAGGCGGGGGGGGGGGGGGCAAGCAGGCTGGGCGGGGAGAGCAGAGAGACAGAGAGGAATCTGAAAGCAGCACAGAGAGCGACAGAAGGGGACAGAATGGGACTGACTTATGAATTTCAAATGCAGCCATGGTCAGAAGATCTTGGTGAGAGGGTAGGACCACATGGCCTTCTGCCAGAAACTAGGGGCAAGATGACTTAGGATTCAAGAGGTGAATGAAATTAATGATTTCGAAATGATCCATGTCATTATGAATGCCTGTGATGGCTAAACGTGTGGTATTTGGTTTCTGTATTCAGAATTAATACTATCGTGCGCTTAACCGCAAGCTTGCGCTTTTCTGACAGTACCTGCGGAAGTCCAGCAGGGGGCGTGTTGAAGTGGGGATGCCCTGAGCTGGCCAGCTCAGGAAGTGGAACTGCGTGAGGGTACGTGTTTCCTGTGTCTGGACATTCTTCAGGTAGAAGCTGCGCACCAGGAAATCGTTACACCAAATATGCTCCGAGACTAGATTCACCTGCGTGTCACAACAGAAAACGGCGTAGGTGAAAATGAGGGAGGGAATAAAGCCGCCCTCACACACAAACAAGCAGGTGGTGTGAGCCTACGCACCCCTAGGGTGGGCCAGGCTTCCAGAACAGAACGTCAGCCAGACGCTCACCTCATAGATGTGGTAGAGAGAGGAGCCCTCGTCCGGCCAGTAGCGATCGCACTGCTTCTCCCCGTCCTCCACAAGCGCAGTCATCATCACTATCACCGCGCAGCCGCTCTCCCAGACCATCTACAGGAGAACAGGCACGCTCGCCATGAGCAGAAGGGCACAGCACAGCGCTACATGATCACCATATGGGCTGTCAAGCAAAGGTGTCCTAGGCAGGCCGTTACTGCGGGAAACTGCGCCGCAACAGCACCAGCTGGCGTTGGGAAAAACCACCAAAGCAACTTCGCTATAAAGTTCTGTAGAAGAAGTTTTAGAACAGCATGGAGGAACAGGGAAATTAAACATGAAAATATAAATACAAAAAAACATTAAAACTCATTTCTCATCACTCATTTCTCATTACTTCAAGCTATTTTTATGACCACTTGGCATTGCCAAACAGTGCTTGCAGCTCTGTTGCCATTTTTTAACAGTACGCAACACATTCAGACGGTGTTAAATGTTCACACATTGTTACTCACTCGCCATATACAGAAGAACAGAACAAAAAATATTCAGGTACTCATGCTGCAACAACAGAGTAACAGAATGTGAGATATACTATCTGGAATTAAACACAGTTATGGGGCAGTGGTGCTTGTGAGTAAAAGGTTGCTGGTTCAAGTCCCCAACCATAAAGGTACCACTGAGGTATCTTGAGCAATTCACTGCTCTCCAGGCATTAAATAGTAGCTGCTCACTGCTATGTCACATATGGGTTAAATGCAGAGGACCCATTTTGTTGTTGTGTACTGTAGTGTGTCAACAATGACAATTATTGACTTTCATATAGCCTATGAAATATAGATGAATGTAGGCACAGCTCTAGAGTACAACATGTTTATGCAGAATACTGATCGACATACACAACCTGCAAGGTGCCTCTTGGAAGACAATGCACACAAGAATGGCAGTAACTGAGCAACGTGTCACTGAAGTTCACACACACCGATGTGACTGACCTGCCAGAAGTCAGGGATGGTGTGTGTCAGCGGGCCCTGGGTGGCGATGTAAGCAGGCATTCGGGGGTCGTGCTCAATCTGAGGGCCAGCCACAGAATTTTTGCGCGTGAAAAGCAATCGACCGAGTACATCTGGAGCCTCCAAAAGGTGGCAGCTAGAGATTAGCTCATGGCATTTGGAAAAACAAAGCAGAGAGGGAGGCAGAGGGTAACTTATCGTGCTTCCAGAAGCCAACTAAGCAATGAGGGTGCGTACAATGGTGCTGGCATTGATGTAGTCCGTCCTGGAAGGGTTTATCTCAGCCTTCAGCTTCACACGCGCATGGTCATCTGCGGCAGGACGCAACACAAACACGTCACACACAGAAAATGCTGTGACCAGAGAGGAACAGGAGGGAGGATGAAGAGATAATGAAGAAGCACAAGAACAATACAATACGCTGACACTTTAAACAGTCATCAAAATGCATTATAGATACCTTCATAATGCATTATAATGTATTTACAAAGTACTATAAACACAGCTATAAATAATGCTTATAATGGTCAGTATAAGAAATAAAGATGCTTTGTGCTACATTAGGAAGGTGTCTATAATGCATTATAGATCAGAGCTTCATAGATCATCCATAATGCATAATAAACATGGATATAATGGGCTATGCCTTTTCATAAGTTTTATAAAGTTTTCATAAATGACCGTATTTGAATGCATTATAATGCATCATGAAGGTATCTGTAAAGTGTTACCAAAAATACTAGTATGACAAAGGATATTAGAAGGTGAAAGAAGGAAATTAATAACAAAAATGGAGAATCAAGCCATCAATAGTAGTAAAGACCACAAGACGATGTGGTGGAATGAGCAGGTAAGAGGGACCCACAGGGAACAAACTCTGGGTTACGGTTCTTCTTGAGGTTGCTCTCGTTCTGGGCGATGGACACGGTGCTGGGCTCAGCCTGGTATGAGCATAGAGCCTCCCACTCTCTGAGCAGACGGTCTTTGTTCTTCAGGTGGTCCTCCATGTAGGCCTAGTCACAGTGTGTGCATGTGCAAAACACAATGACCTTGTTAACTCTGTACCTCGTTCAGCAAAAATATGGTTTTTAAGTGTACAGAATTTTATTGCATAGAATTGCATTCAACAATACAATGGAATATATCAAGCACTAGCCATTGTGATATCAGAGCACATCTTACACTGACCAGGATCATGTGACCAGTTGAGATGTCCATGTTGGACTGCGCCGGCTCCTCACACCAAGAGGGGGTGCTGCTGTGCGAGCTCGGACTGGGCTGGGGGGCATCGCTAAACTGAGACGACACACTGCTGACTCTGGAGGTGTCTGTGCCGCCCCCGCCGCCCCCGCCGCCCCCGCCACTGACTCCAGCGACTGCATCCTGGCGCCCAAACGGGGACTTGGCTGCCATGTGCTGACGGCACAGTTCCTGAAGGGGACCAGAGAAGGAGCATGTCTCTGTGCTTTTATCGCTGCAGTGAGAAGGCACCCTGACAACAGCCTGCCAACTCCTGCTTCACAAGCGTCAAACTCCATTCCACTGAGACGGTTGCTTACCAGACCAACCAATTCCCCCACAGCAATCAGCCCAATTAGTATCAACAATCAATCCAGTTATTTGTGCTATTTATCAAAAACACAGCATTGAGATTAAAATTTGAATCTGAATAGAAGCTGAAATATCTGTAGTCGTTCCAACAGAAACACATTTAAATGTCAGCTGCGTGGCGTTTGCTTGCCTGGCCGCAGCCCCAGCTGCCGTTCTCTCCCTCACCTGGTACTCATAGTGGGATTCGGAGCCGCCCTCTGGTCCCAGACCCAGCTTCCCGGACGCCAGCTGCCGGGCGTGCTGTCGCAGGCAGGCGATGGTGAATGCAGCCACCAGGATCCCGCCCACACAGGCCACGCCCACCAGGGTGAGGAGCACCCAGCGAGAACTTTCCCGAACTCGCGTTGCCGTGGGTACCCCACGTCCATCACTCCTCTGCAGAAGGGGGGGGGGGTTACATTAGGTATCGGCGCAACATGAGCATCTATGGGACATGTCTTTCTAGGAAGCAGGCAGTTGTTTGCTGCAGCATTAAGGTGCACTATTCCCAGCCCAGCCCACATATGTGGCAATAATGTGTTTGAAAGAAATAGCTGAATTGAGGTCCTGGTAGTAAATGGCCTTCCACACTTACATAAAGTGTTTGCTTTTGCTGCTGGTTACCCCAAATGACCTATGACCCTGGAGTAGGTCAGAGGTCAGAACTTTTCTCACAATCCCAGTCTCCAGTGGCTGATAAAAGCTCACCCCCAGTCAATAAGTGGCATCTGTGTGGTCCCTTTGCATGTGCTGGCAGACAGCCTCCCCCCCCCATGTACCCCTTTCTCTCTTTTGTCTCTGCCCCTGTTTGAGTAAACAAATCGGGCCTTGCTGCCATCGTTAGCTACTAATTACCCGGATGACACGCACAGGCACACCGGCACGTGCCACTCTCGTATCCCACAAATAATTAAGGAAAGTCACAGCCCCTCCACCCAGCCCGCCTTTGTTAATTACTGGCATGTAAACTGCTAATGGAAGTTCCCATTCCCCAGTCGCTGAGTTAATGAGGAAGACACCCCCCCCTTGTAAAGCACTGTCAATCAGCCCTGTCCCTAACACCATGCCAAGCAAGTACACGGCAAAAATGGGGGAGACAGACAGAGAGCGAGAGCGAGAGAGAGAGAGAGAGAGAGAGAGAGAGAGAGAGAGCAAAGGACAAAGAGTTGGTGGGAGGGAAGAATGATGGAACAAACCCCCCCCCCACACACACATCCCCAAGTCCGTTAACGTTGCCATGGTGTCTTGGGCGTTTCAGCGGGAAAGTGAAGAATGGGACTTGCCGCTGCCATGACGACGGCAGAATGCTTCGCGTAATCCCTGTCCATCAGCAAGAGAAGAGGGGCGCTGCATTTATGCCCAAGTACGAGAGCAGAACGAGGCCGCTCCTCGCTCTGCCCCTGCCCTTCTCGTGCTCCACACACGCTTCTACATGTCACTGTGGCAGCTGTGTTCAGGCGTGTGTCTGCATCTAGAGCCTAGGGCTCGGGGAAGCCATCATAACCGCAGGAGACTCGAATGGATGGCAGCAGGGTGACAACAGGTAGTGGGTACAAGAGCCACAGATAGGCAGGATTCTGCTGCATGGGCAGCGTTCTCTCTCACGGCACGTCTGTAAAGTAAGCGCTTCTCTTTCTCGAAATTTCATCCGCTGGCCTTTTCCTCCATCTGTCGCCCTTCCGCACCGCTCCCCTCCCCCTCTGCGCTTTCCCAAACCTGCCCCCTAACCTCCTACAGTCCTGGCCTGCCCCTTGTCACTTGCAGCCCTCCTCTAAGAACTCAGTGCTCCCCCAATCTGCCAATCCCTGTGGGCCCCTGGAATGTGTGGGGGTGGGCAGCGTTCAACTGGACCGTGGGGCGGGGGGGAGCGTGGAGCGGGGGAAGGGCACTTCACCTGCTCCCCCAGCGGGGGCCCCAAAAAAAAAGAGACTGACAGGCATTTAGGCTGGGCGAGAACAGCCAGGACAGAGGCTCCGAGGCAGCCTAGTCTGGACAGGGGCACAAAGGCACCCCGGGGTTAACCCAGGCTGGCTAACAAACACAGAGCCAGGGGCGGGGACAGTGTGTGCGGGTGGAGGGGGGGTGAGATATAAGCCCAGGGTACGAGGGGGCAAGTAGAGACAGAGAGGTGAGAAGGTGAAAGAGCGCGGGCACCAGAACACAGGGATGGTAGCACTGGGGCAGTAGTGATGGGAGGGCAGCAGGGGAGCAGGGGGGTCATGTGAGAATAAAGGGCTCCGGCTGTGGGAAAAGGACCCAGCTACCTGCCCGCTCAGACTCAGCAACCGGCTAAAGAGGCCGGGCGATTTAAGGCCGGGACTACTGACCTTCCGAAGCAGAAAGACATGCTGGCCTTTTTTAAGCTAATGTAACATGTATGTCTTTGCCTGGAGTCTTTTAAACAGCAAAATGACTTTTAACTGCCTGTCTGTGTGGGGAAGTGAGAGGCAGATCCAGCCGAGAGAGAGGGAGACCGACACAGAAAGGGACGAGCAAGGTACTGGCTGAGCTCTGACCATAAATGAACAATAATAATGATGATAATAATAATGCCCCTCAGAAAAGAGAGCCCTAGGACATTTACAGCAAACCAAGCTCCCCAGGTCGCCCTCAGTGCTCTCGGGTTTTACCTGCAGACCCACGGCACCCACACTGCCGACTCCGAAGCATACACCAAACAAAGACATTAACGTTCTGGTAACCCATTATTCATCCTTATAATCAGTATTTTGCCGTACATAAACAACCACGGCATGAATAATAAATAAAACCTCCAAAACCACAATAGCGTGCATGTGTCCGTATGTGACTGTGGGTTATATATATATTATTATATATATTATGTTGTGTGAACCAAATGTCCCCACAATGTGATAAAAGCGTCTTATTTTGACGTTGTGGCGATCATTTTTTCAGTCCCCACAAGGGGAAACTCAGTTTCATAAAAGTCTGTGAATGCAATCAAATAACTAAAAATGCCAAAAGACTTCTATTTTGTTTGGTTACTTATGGTTAAGGTCATTATTGTTGGGATTAGGGTTTTGCTGATAGAAACGAATTGACAGTCCCCACGAAGTTATGAATACAAACGTGCGTGCGTGTGTGTGTGTGAGCGCGTGCACGTGAGTTTGTCTCTGTGTGACGTGTGTTGGAGCCACTGCACATCTGTGACTGTGAGCTTTAATTTAGGAGGATAAAGAAGGTCAGAGCAAACAGGCCACCACTATCTGCATCATAATGCAAGAGGTCAGGCTTCAGGGGTCAGAGGTCGCGCTGAGATAAAAGGAGATCCAGCGCAATCATCCATAAGTTATCTCCCATATTACCCATCACACTCTCCCATCTGTCTAGAGAAATTGGTAATTTTATCTCCTCTTCATTCTTACTGTATATGATAAAGAACCACTGGCTGCCTCTTCCTTTACTTTTAACATCTTATATTAATTTCTTATTGGTTTGTTAAAAGGTGATATAAAAGTAATCAAACAAAACACCCACCCAACTGGGACCCAACAGTCTCTAACACAGGGAAGCCCCATTTATTTTCCAGTGCTGTCTAACTATTCCCATATTCATCTCAGTGCTGCAGCTAGAATCCATCCATCCATTTTCCATACAGGTGAATATCAACGGAACATCGCAGACGGTATACAAAAGAGCCACAAGGCCATTACATCACCACGATCACCCAGATAGCACTGACCCCAGTAACTATAGCAACCATCCTACCTGAGTGTCATGGGAAGAATGTGGGAGAGGGAATTAAAAGCAATGTTGGAAATCTGTAGCAGTACCTACACATACATATAAGGTACACTCAAATGCACACTCCAACACCATACACACCACAAGCTTCACAACACAATCACGAATGCGAGAGCAACTCATTTGTACTAAGTGCATCTTCCAGTTTGAAACATGCAGGTTTTCACAGTACACCTATGTTCTGCCTGAGTATTTGCTCTGCAAATAGTCACTGTGACACTGGCACATAAATTTGTTGAGATAGCTTTATAATAAAAATTCATTTTGCTTTCAGAGTTGGATGACATGACATTTCAATACATATACCATACCATATTCATGTTTTACACTATATGACTTTTACAAATGTCAATAATATGGAGGTACACTACTTGAAAAATGTATTTCAAAAATTGAAGAAAAAATTGTGCAGTACAGACTATGGTACATAATTAAGACGGCCTTCTTTAAAATAACACACTGCTCATTTTCTATCATAATAACTTAAATGACATTTAGGTAACCCACACACAGCATGAAATAGCTGAGAAAATAATTTTAAAAATCTTACAAAAACTCTGAAAATGATTTTTGTTCAGCAGATGTCCTTAAAATCACAGAACATAAATGACCCAATTTTGCAAATAGCGAGATGACAGGCAGCCCAGCTCGTTCAGCAGCTGCTATGAGGCAAGAAAGGCAGCGGTCGGGCCCAAAGACACAGCCATTTCCCCATAACGTCGATTTATTGCATTTAAATGCCACGATGCGGCAAAATGTGTCAATCACAATATTAAGACAATTATGTATTTGTATCACGTGCCTAACAAGCTGCTTTCTATGGTCTTCCCTAAGCCATTATTTTTGGCAAAAAATATGTTCTTCCTCCACTGATGAGCAACATTTCACAAAACTAAGCAACGCACTTTCAGAACAAACTAGAAGCTCAGCTGAAACTCGTATTAGGAAACAGCAGGTTTTGTTAGAATTATGAAATAATATAAATATTTTACAGCTCATTCTAATTTGTTCAAGTGTACTCAGTGTAGGGGGAAACTGTTTTCAAAATGGATTTTTTACATATAACTTTATTTGTGATATTACCAAACAAATTTGAGTACTACTGCACTGTGGCTTCAATATATTATTTATATATTGTTTTAATAGCATATGTACTGTATGTCACTGACAGAGAGATCCACAAGAGTGACCCCACATCCATGAACTACACACCATCACCCACGATCGCAACCTGACGACCTACGTCCTTCCGCAGACCTAAGAGCCTTTGTGTCTGACATGCATGATGTCACGATGGATATAAATTTTTAAACCCAAAACAATAGAAGCTCCATACATTTTGGTCAACAGCAACAGCTAACAACCACAGCAGATGTAACAGTAAGTAGTTCAGGGGAAACTAATGACAAGAATATGAATGCAGAATATATTTTTGTGACAACTGTGTAACATCTGCTATTTTCAGTAGTGTATTAGCTCTTTGTTTTAGCTGGAACTGAAAAACTAGCTTCATTAAGTTGACAGGTAAGTCTTCTCCCTTCCAGACAAGAGGCACAAAGCAGGACATGTAGCTCTCATACACACCTGACACTGGTCAGTTTCAATGGACTGAATGAAAGTGACAATAAGGG